TATTCCATTGATCTATGTGTCTGTCATTGTACCAGTACCATGCTGTCTTGACTACCACAGCAGTGTAGTAGGATTTTAAGTCAGGGAGTGAGATGGGAGGCTAAGATTTTTAAGCTCTGTCTCACATACTTTGGGAACGTGGCCAGGAGAGACCAGTCCTTGGAGAAGGACATTAGGCTTGGAAGGGTGGAGGGATAGCCCAAGAGAGGAAGACCCCAAATGAGATAGATTAAAACAGTAACTGGGGAATGGGAGTAGGTATGTCAGAGTTAGAGTAGGGCAAGTTTCAGAGTTGTTGTAAATAAAGTCACTATGAATTGCAGGCAACTCAATGGCACATAACAACAATGACAGTGTTCCCTTGCTCTGTTCTGATAACAGCTTCTTGCTCTAGGTACAGATTTCATATGAGCACAATTAAGTGTTCTGAGATTTCCATTTTGCTCAGTGTTAGCCATGGTTTGTTCTGATCACACAGTCAAACGTTTGCCTTTGCATCATCAATAAAACAAAAATAAGACATTCTTCTGGTATACTCTACTTTCAGCCAGGATTCATCTGACATCAGAAATTATGTCAGTTCCATGACATCTTCTAAACCCAGTTTGAAATTCTAGCAGTTCTCTGTTAATATACTGTTCTAGCCATTTTTGGATGATCTTTAGTAATATATTGCTTGAATATGATATTAATGATGTTGTTGTTATGTGCCGTCGAGTCGTTTGCTACTCATAGTGACCCTATGCACAACAGCCCTAAACCCTGCTCTATCCTGCGCCAACTGCACTGCCTCTGACACACCTATGCCAGTTACCCCAGTCACCGAATCAATCCATCTCATAGAGGGTCTTCCCCTCCTGTGCTGTCCCTCCACCCTCCCAAGCATGATGTCCCTCCCCAAGGACCCATCCCTCCTGGCAACATGTCCAAAGTATGTCAGACGAAGCCCCAAAATCCTTGCCTCCAAGGAGTAGCTTGGTTTAATCCTCTCCAACATGAATCTGTTTGTTTTCCTGGCAGTCCATGGTACATTCAGTACTCTTCTCCAGCACCACAGCTCAAAAGCATCCACTCTCCTTTGTCCTCCCTAGTCATTGTCCTAGCACCTGTAGTGACCCCATAGCAAAAGGTCAAAACCTTGCCTTACCCTTCACTATCACCATCTTCACCTTGCTTGAGTCTGTTTTTGGAGTCATTGTGTCAGCCTGTCTTAGTTGACCTCTTCTACCTTTCCCAGCATGATGACTTTTTCCATGCACTGGGCCCTCCTGACAGTATGCCCATCTTTAGTAATAACTTTAGAAGCAGGAGTGGCATCCACTTCCTAAATTACATGCCTCTGGAAACTCTATGAACTTTGATAAATGATGGTAGTTATAGAAAGGCTTCAGGCCTTTTGTTCATAGGGTCGCTATTAGTCATGCTCAACTCGATGGCCATCAATAACAACAACAACAACAACCAACAACGTAATCATAAATTGCTCTTGATTGTAAGATCATGATATAAAAACGTAAAAAAAAACCAATACAACTATGAGATATCATCTCACCCCAGTAAGAATAACAACATTTAACAGAACAAAAGCAACAAATACTGGTGAGTTTGAGGAGAAACTGGAACCCTTATTCACTGTTGTTGGCAGTGTAAAGTGGTGCAACCACTATGGAAGGCTGTATGGTGCTTTCTCAAAAAGTTGCAAATAGAAATACCATTTGACCCAGCAGTTCACTGCTGGGAATATGCCCTAAAGAAGCCATAACTGCCACCCAAGCAGATATATGCACACCCATGTTTATTGCGACTTTGTTCTCAATAGCAAAGAACTGGAAATAACCCAAGTGCCCATCCACAAATGAATGGCTAGAGAAGCTATAGGTATATTCACACAATGGAATACTATGCAGCACTGAAAAACAAGGAACTAATGAAATAATATACAAAATGGGTGACCCTGGAGGACATTATGCTGAGTGAAATAGCTCAGTCACAGAAGGACAAATATTGTATAGGGCCACTGTTGTAAAACAGGACTGACATCAGGGTTGAGGGAAGACATAGAAGGAGGGGATGAATGATGTATACTGCATTGAAACAGATGAGGGAGAGAACTGTTTAAAAGGGATATATGATTGGGTATTATTGTCATGACAGGAGTCCATAATGAAGGCTGCACAATAGAGTGGACTTGGGGGGAGGGATTACATAACAATGAAAGAGTTTTACTTTTCAAGAAGAAAAGTGAATTGGGAGGGGGTTGGCAGGGAGAAAAGTACAACAATGAATAAATGGAAACCCTAAGTCTTTGTAAACTTTAATTAAAATTAATTTAAAAAACTTTAAAAAACTCAAAATCTTAGAATCAGTGAAATAAGTTTTAATATCAAGTGTGAAAACTTTTTTCTACAATCCAGGCGGGAATAAAGTATATGTATATATAGCATAAATTATTTTTCTTTGTGAAACATTTACAGAAATCATCTGATTTTAAGAAATTAAAATTGCTGCTTTTTATATAGAGTTTCAAATAAAGACATTATTTATTTTAATGGTAAAGAAGCCAAGGCTAATAACTTGACAATTGAATTACCAAATCACATCAATGAAGAAAACCTTTGTTTCTCTTCTTTTTTAAAAGGCAAAAGCAACAACAATCAAAGAAGCCCTAGCCAGATGGGTGAGTATGTGTGTTTTCATTTCTTTTAGAAACTATGTAAAGAAAATCATTGAATAGTTATTTAAATCTAACCCATTCAACATTAGGATTCTTAGGATATTGGGACTATTCAGTATCTTCACAGCAATGATGAATACATAAACCTACACAAATTATAAATTGTGTAGAAACTTAACACATACATCTATGCACGTATCTACACATACACACAAGTAAATAAAACAAAAATTGGAAAATTCTAGATGGAGCTCTGATGGTCTACTGGCAAGAAGCTGAGCTGCAATCCTAAAGACACGTTGTTCGAATCCACCAGATGCTCCGCTGGAGCAGGAGGGGCAATCTCCTGGGCCAGTCAGATTTGATTCAATGGTACACAAGAAGAAAAAAAGAAGTAAAAAGAAAACTGGGAAATTCTGAGTAAGATTTGTTGATTATATCAGTATCCTGTTTGTATAATATACTACAGTTTCATAAAATATTACCATTGAGTGAAAGTGTTCAAAGTGTACAAGGGATTTCACTGTATTTTTTTCTTACAAATGCCTGTGAATCTTTTTTAGAGCAAAAATACTTGTATTAAAAAAAATAAAACCACTGGAAAATTTAAATATGGAAAGGCTGACTTGTCTGTTATTACAAAAAGGCTGGAATCTCTGTGTTATAGTAAAGTCTTTTCAACTTTACCATGATTAGCAGGTGATTGGTGTGCATTGAGATTGTCTGGATTTTAGACAGGTGATGGCTTTAGCCTGTGGAAATTAGAACAGAAACAGGCATATGAAAAAATGTAAATCACGCATAGACAACTGGAAAAATATAAAATTTTAAAAACCTGGATGACCTCTCTAAAGTACTAAAGAGCAATGGTGTCTTTTTGGAGAGTAAGGTGCGTCTGATACAGGCCATGGTCTTTGCAATCACTTGTTATGCATCAGAGAGTTGGACAATGACTAGAGAGGATAGAAGGAGAATTGATGCCTTTGAGCTGTGGTGCTGGAGAAGAGTATTGAATGTACCATGGACTGCCAAGAAAACAAACAGATTCATCCTGGAGAGGGTTAAACCAGGCTGCTCCTTGGAGGCAAGGATTCTGAGGCTTTGTCTGACATACTTTAGACATGTTGTAAGGAGGGACTGGTCCTTGGAGAGAGTCATCATGCTTGGGAGGGTGGAGGAACAGCACAGGAGGGGAAGGCCCTCTATGAGGTGGATTGATTCAGTGACTGGGGTAATTGGGATGGGTGTATCAGAGACAGTGCATTTGGCACAGGACAGGGCAGAGTTTAGGGCTGTTGTACATAGGGTCGCTATGAGTCGCAAGCGACTCGACAGCACATAACAACAAATGATGGAGTAACATTAAGAAGGATTCTGTATCATAAAAAGCATGCATAAGACTTAAACTATAAGTGTTTTTAATATTATAGAAACTTGAACAGCTATAATACAAGATTTAGATGTAATTTTTCTGAAATATGGAGATGGCCTTTTTAGTTTTTCTGACCAATGATAGTTTGTCCAATGTGTCAGTGGGTTTTTTGTATAATTAGCCTTTGGTTTGGCTTTTTTGGTCTTTGAATAAAAAGTCTTTCACTTGCCTTATGGAGCACTGGTGACCTAATGCATATAGAGTTGTGCTACTAATCTAAAAATAACCCCTCTGGCAGTTCAAATCCACCTTCTCTGGAGATAGACAGTCTCTTTCCATGTGATTCAAAGCCATAGACAGCCACTGGACCGGACAACAGGGAAATTATTTAGGGAAAATAAAAGCAATGAAATAAGGGAGCTCTGGTGGCCTAGTGGCAAGACGCTGCACTGCAATCCCAGAGATAAGGGGTTCAAATCCACCAGGTGCTCTGCTGGAGAAGGAGGGGGCAATCTCCTCCTGTACCAGTCAGATCTGATTTGACGGTACATGTAAAATAATACAAAAAAAAAAAAAAAGAAGGGAAAAAAAGCAATGAAATAACTATTGGCAGTTCTTAGACATTTCTTATTTATGGTAGTTGCATTTTGAAAATTTGTATTTGGTTAAATAAAACCAGGAAGTTAGTATGGAATAGGCACAGTATTTTATTTTATTTTTGTTCCATTGGATTTTAGGATTTAATTATTTATAATAATGAATGTATTTTTGTTTTAGTTTGTAGGTTCTGTCTCTATATTATGACCATATAAATTTTACATTTTTTTCTTTGATATTGGTTTGCTTACTAAGTTAGTATACATTCTGTTTCACACTATTCTTCATTCACATTGTGTTTCATACAATCATTCTCATGCATTCTAGTTAGTTGTTGTTTTTTTATACTCGTTTATTTATCAAGTTTATATACATTGTTTTTCACGCTGCATCTTTCCAGTTTGCTCCATACACCCCTCCCTTTACCCATCAAATTGTGCGACCCTATAATTAACCACCCCCACCCCTTACCCATCCTCACCCCTCTTCTCCCTCCCCCCACCTTGGACCCTAATACTTCTTCTACAGTAATGGTTTTATATTTGTCCTTATGAGACTAAGTTCACTTAGCATAATGTTCACCAGTCCCTCCCAGGTTAGGTAGTAATTTACAAAATCATTGTTCCTACATGCTGCATAGTATTCCATTGTGTGAATGTACCATAATTTCTTAATTTATTCAGTTATGGTTGGACATTTGGACTATTTCCACATACTTCCTATGGTGAATAATTCTGCTATGAACATTGGTATACAAGTCTCTGTTTGTGCCTTAGTCCTCATTTTCTTGGGGTATATTCCAAGCAGTGGAATAATTGGATCATAGGGAATTTCTATGTTCCATTTTTTGAGGACATGCCAAACTCCCTTCTAGAGTGGTTGTGCTATTTTACACTCCCACCAACAATATATGAGAGTTCCTATCTCACCACATCCTCTCCTACATTTATTATTTGCTGTCCTGTTAAACTTTGCCACTGCTACTAGAGTGAGATGGTATCTCATTGTGGTTTTGATTTGCATCTCTCTTATTGACAGTGATTTAAAGCATTTCTTCATGTGTCTGTTGGCCATCCAAGTATCTTCCTCTGTGAAAAGTCTTTCCATGTCTTTGCCCATGTTATAATTGTCATTTTCTTGTGGAGGCCCTATAGGATTCTGTAAACTTTTAGTATGAGATCCTTCCATGCATTATGAGGGTTTTTTAAAAATTTATTATTTTTTGTATGTGTACCATCAAATCATATTTTACCAGTACAGGATGAGATTGCCCCTCCTTCTCCAGCACAGCATCTGGTGGATTTGAACCACGTACCTCTGGGATTGCAGTGCAGCTTCTCCATGCATTATGTTTTATAAAATTAATCACCATTGTACCTTGCTGATCATTACCCTGTCTTTTCAAGTCCCTGCTGTATCATTCTGATTTCCTCCATCTCCTCCCTCCACCCACCAAACTGTGCAGCCCTGTGGTTTTCCCCTACTCATCCTCATAGCTCCACTCCCACCCCTTCCCCCCTTGAGTTCCCATACATGTTGTACTAGTTATCCTTCTATTTTTACAATAATGGTCTTAGGCAGTATTTGTCCTTATGAGACTGAGTTAATTCACTTAACATAATTGCTTTCCAGCCTCTCCCAAGTTACGTAATATTTTTCAAAATCATTGCTCCTGGGTGCTGCATATTATTCCATTGTGTGGATGTACCATAATTTCTCAATCCATTCAGTTGTGGTTCAGTTTTGGGCTGTTTTCATGTTCTTGCAATGGTGAATAATGCTGCTGTGAACACTGGTGTACAGATCTCTGTTTGTGTCTCAATTCTAATTCCCTTGGGGTTATTCCTAGTAGTGGAATAGCTGGGTCATAGGGAATTTCTTATGTTCCACTTTTTGAGGAAACATCAACCTCAACCTGCCTTCCAAAGTGGTTGTACCATTTTACAGTCCCACTAACAGTGTGTATGAGAGTTTCCACCTTTCCACTTTCCCTCCAACATTTATTGCTTGTTGCCCTATTAAATGTTGCCACTGCCACTGGGGTGAGATGGTAATCTCATTGTGGTATTGATTTGCATCTCTCTTATTGCCAGTTATTTTGAGCATTTCTTCTTGTGTTTGTTGGCCATCCGAATATCTTCCTCTGAGAAAAGTCTTAAGTTAGAGCAGATCAAATAAACAGCTTTACCTCAGCTGTGTTTTAAAGAGGTCTTCTAAAATTCTTGGCATTCTGAGTTTCTAATTCAAGCTACTGGATTGTGTGTAGAAAAAGGAGACTGAGATGTCAGTGAAAACAATTGATCTTGCGGATCTGAACCTGGAATTTAAGAAAAGTATGCTTAGCAAATAGCTTCTCCTAACAACACATCTAAAGTATGTAAGCTAAAGATGAAGCTTCATCATCTTTGCTTCCAAGGAGCACTCTGGCTGAACCTTTTCCAAGACATTACCTATTTGGTCTTTTGGTAGTCCATAGAATATTCAGCACCACAACTCAAAGGCATCAGTTCTTTTTCTGCTGTCCTTATTCATTATCCAGCTTTCAGATGCATAGCAAGTAATTGAAAAGATATTACAATCTAGAGTTGATCTCAAATGAACTTAAAAAGCACCTCAAAAACAGATTTGAGGCATAATACAGAAGACCAGATGAGTTGTAGGATGACATCAAAGACATGATCCACGAGGAAAGCATGATAATATTTCAAAGTATGTGAGATGAAGTCTCGCCATTTTTGCCTCTAAGGGTATCATGTTTACATTTCTTCCAAGACATAGTTGATTGTTCTTTGGGCAGTCCATTCAATGCTCCTCACCAGCACCACAATTCAAAGGCATTGATTAATCTTCAGTCTTCCTTATTCATTGTCCAACTTTCAGATGCATAGAAAGCAGTTGAATATTAAGCATTAAAAAAGTGTGGCTTCAAGGATAAATATTGTATAAAACCATTATTGTAGAATGAGTATAAGGATCCAAGAGGGGTGGGAGGGGGTCCAAGCAGAGGGATGAGGATGTGCAGGGGGAGGGAGGATTAATCATGGGGTTGTACAATTTGATGGGTGGGGGCGGGGGTGAAGGAAATTGAAAGAATTTGTTTTCAAAAACAATGTATTTGAATTTTGTAAATAAACTAGTATAAAATTAAAAATAAAGAAAAGTATGCTTAGGGACAAGGAATTTGTTACTGTGTTGATTTTGTTTGTTTATGGAGTTTGATTTTTTTAAAAAGAAAATTTTTATTTTACACTAGTTTGCTTACAGAGTTCATATACATTGTTTTTCACACCTGATCTTTCCCATTTCCTTTACCCACCCCTCCCTCTACCCATCAAATTGTGTGACCTTATGATTATCGTCCTGCCTGTCCTCACCCCTTTCTCCCCCCTTCCCCTTTGGTTTCTCATACATATTTTACTGTTTATCTTTTTATTTCTACAATAATGGTCTTATATAGTATTTGTCCTTAAGGAACTGAGTTAGTTCACTTAGTGTAATGCTCTCCAGATCCTCCCTAATTAGATAGTACTTTTCAAAATCATTGCTTCTGGGTGCTGTGTTGTATTCTATCGTGTGAACGCACCATAATGTCTCAGTCCATTTGATTGTGGTTAGACATTGTTTGTTTATGGACTCTTAAAGGATTATGAAGATTTTCTTTCCTCTTTCTTTCCATTTGGCAAAGACCTAACCATGAATTGTTTAATTTAACCTTGTAGAAAGAAATCTGTAAGTATTATTATTAACAAGATCATTCTGATTGTCAGGGATAGTAAGTAGATGTTTTCATTGAAAGAATGGTAAAGATGCAGTTATTAAATTCTAATAGTTGTTTGAAATAAATGTTGGAAGATTTTAGGAAATTCTAGCCCTTTTTGATTCCATTTGACAGTCAAGGAACATTTTCTTCCATTTTTACTTTTGTCATAGGAAGAGAAAACAGGACAGAAGCCATCTGAAGCCAAAGAAATAAAACTTTATGCCCAGATTCCCCCTATAGAGAAGATGGATGCATCTTTGGCCATGCTTGCTAATTGCGAGTAAGTTTTCTAGTCTTTTTTCTTCTTTCTAAAACTGTTATTAGGTTTCCTTCCCTTGCTTTCCATAAGTTAGGAACAAGAACAATGTTTTGTTTCCCCTGCTCTTCATTTACTTTTTGTTTACTAATGTAATTCTCCTTTGACAAAGAAGAGTTAGCAGCCCAGCACTTAACCATTTTTGTCACCAGAGCTCCTCACAGTACTTTTAGATATAACATAAAAAGTACCTCCTCCCCCTCAAAAAGTGAACATGAACCTAAATTGTATTCCCTGTGAGAACTAATTAGCATACCATACCAGTTAGAACCTCTTTTTTTTGTCCCCAATTTTCATCAGGATCAAATTCTATTTATTATTTTGTAATCCTGATTTCCTATAAACTTTAGATATCTGTCTTTACTACCCATTTACATTTATTTTCTAAGTATGCTACATAGTGTGTATCAGGAATCTGTTCCTAATCTGAAGTAGTTCTGCTAGGACTCCTTTACTTTGTTTTTAGATTTTAATTTTTTTTTTTAAGGATAGTAGAATTACTTAATATTCTTTCTGACCCTTGGATTTAGATATTTTAAGCTAATTCTGGTTAAAATTTGATTTCTCATTCTTATTTTGTTAGTGAGATTACCCTGTTTTTTTTCTAAGTATGATCCCTTGATCAACTAAATAAGAATCTCTTCATATAAGAGCTCTGGTGCCTAGTGGTAGATTTTAATTCTGGCTTTGTCACTTTCTGGTTGTGTAACATTGAATAATTGATTAACATCATTATGCTTCAGTTTACTCACTTGTAAAATATCAGTAATAATAATAATTAACCTTAGAGGATTGTTGTGATCATTAAAAATTCATGTTAAGTACTTAGAAAAGTACTGGACATCCATTAAGTAGTCAATAAAAGTTACCTGTTATTATACTTTTGCATTTAATGTACTAAGATATTAAAAAAAGATTTTGACCAATAATATAATACCAAGAATGTTTAATTTAAATACTTTTAAATACTGGGGTTTGTGGGGATATGGCTTATTAAACATAGCTTTCACTGGGAGGGTGTATAGGGTGGGTAGGATTATATTGGACTTTGTAGTATAAAAATTTCTGAATGATTTTGACACTTGAGAAAAAATATCCATTCTGCATATGCTTCTATATATTCCTGTTTCCTATATTTTTTACTTTACTTATTTAAAATAGATCATATAAAATGTATTGTTCTAAATAAAATGTATTCAGTTATTTTTTAAAAAATTTTACTATGTATAGAGTGTCTAGGAGTCAGAATCATCTGGAAGGGAGTGAGTTCTAAATAATGGAAATACCTTCCCATGCCTGTTTAGGTAGCCTGATCTTGTTGTTTTAATGGCAGTATAATATTTTATTTTGTGGCAATGCTTCTTTTACCTTTTTCTTGATTGATACAGGTTTTTAAAAAAATTTAGTGCTGTGATAATATAAAAGCTAGTTCATACATCTTTTGGCATTTTTATTGTATTTCAATAAAATCTATTCCTAGAATTGAATTGCTAGATAAAAAAGTACATGCATCAAACATTTTATTAAATAACACCAAATTGCCTTCAAAAAGCTTTCTTTTTTTCTTCAGCAGTAAGTATGTAGCTTTAACATATTTTACAGTTAATTTTATACTCAGAAAAATTTAAGATTTTACAATAAAGAAATTAGTGCTGTGACTGAAGAGGAGGAAAGTATTCTGTGTAAAAAAGAAACATTAATTATATATTCTATGAGCATTTAAAGAATAATTTCTGGTAAACCATTTAAAGTTTTTTCTTTGTTAATTCAAGTTTTTCTTTGTTCTTTTAAAGGAAACTTTCACTGTCTACAAACTGCATTGAAAAAATTGCCAACCTGAATGGCTTAAGTAAGTGATCCACAGTAATAGATGGTTTTTGAATTTTCTACTTACTCCAGAGAGCGTATGTCATTCCAGACACTGGCACCTGTTTTAACGTAGTACTTGTCAGAAAACATAGAAAATAATCCATATGTCCAGAATTTTATAACTTAGAGAACATTAGAGATAGTGTGAAACGTGAACATTTTAAAGATTTTATAGAGTTAGAATTAAGAAGTCCTTAATAGAAAATCCACTTTCTTGCTATATATTATTTATTTATATATATTCTTTATTTAGATTTGTCTTTTGAGTATATTTTAAGCTAATGCTGATTAAAATTTGATTCTTAATTATTCTTATTTTGTTGGTGATGTTATTATATCCCTAGGAGGTCTTTTTGGAGAGGGACATGATGCTTGGAAATGTAGAGGGACAGTGAAGGAGAGAAAGACTTTTCACTAGGTGGATTGACACAATGACAGAAACAGTGGGCCTGTGTGGTCAAAGATTGTGAGGATGGCACAGGATAGGACAGGATTCAGATCTCTTGTTATTCATAGGGCACTGTGAGTTGTACTTGACTCAACAGCACCTAACAACAACAGCAGTTGTCAAAGCCTTGACTCCCTGTATTACTTTCCTATGGCTGCTGGAACATATGACTATAGTGGTTTCGAACAGCAAACATTTATTCTCTCCTAGTTCTGGAGACTAGCAGTCTGGAATCCATTAACTGGGCCAATGTTAAGGTTTGGTAGGCTCACATTCTCTCTGGAGGGTCTAGGAAGCAGGCCACTCCTTGTCTATTCTAAACTGATTGCCACCATGTTGAAACTGTTTTATCTCTGATCTCTATTTGGTTTCTGAGGCTATAAATCGCACAAGATTTACTCTTTCAAATTCAGGTAACTGCTTGTATTTTTTGCTTGTGGCCTCATCACTCCATCCTCTTCCTTTGTGTTCACATTGCTTTCCACTCTTTGTTAAATCTCCCACTGCCTTCCTTTTATAAGGATACATGTGATTTCACCCAGTATAATCCAGGATAATCTCTCCATTTTAAAACTCTACGTTTAATAACATCTACAAAGTACATTTTTTTGCCATATAAGGTAACATTCTCAGGTTCCAGGGATTAGGAGGTGATCTTTTGGGGAACGATTATTCTGTTTACTCTACCCCCCCACCACTCGCCATCCTGTAAGTCCTCCATCCACAGTCATCACTGTTGTCATTTGGTACCATTGACTCAGTTTGCACTTAGCATGACCACATGCATACTAGGACGAAACACCATCCTCACAGTTGTGGCTGTGCTTGAGCCCATTTTTGTAGCTCCCGCATCAGTCCATCTTCCTGATCTTTCTCTTTCCCCCCCTAACCTTCTGCTTTGCCAAGTATGATATCCTTTTCCAGACTAGTTTCCCTTGATAACATGCCTGAAGTGTGTGAGACAAAGCTTGCCATCCTTGCTTCTAAAGAGCATTTTGGCTGCATTTCTGCCAAGACAGATTGTTTGGGTTTTTGCTAGAGCATGACATACTCATTACTGTTTGCCAGCACCACAATTCAGAGGTATCCGTTTTTCCTCACTCTTTGTCCTTAATTGTCCAGCTTTCATCACCAAGTCCTGTCAGCTTCCCTCTGAAGAAGCCCTTATTTAGTTGTTTTCTATTCCCAGTAGCATTAGCTTTAATTTAGACACTTATCATTCTCCCTTAGATCAAGCTTTTCAAGAATTTTTTAAGAGTAAACATTTCTTTATTTCTTTCTCTCTGCTGAGTGAGGTAGTGCAACTGCTATTTATATTCCTCCTCCGTGCCATAAACAGGTCTTTATTGTTATGCACAATGCTGTGTAAAAGAGGATTCTTGCTTATCTGCACGAAGGAAAGAGTTAGGCTTAAGTCAGCACTTCATCTAAGAATCACGGTGATAGGAGAAGGGGAGTGGTGGCTTAGTGGTAGAAATACCATCTTTCATGCAGGAGACCCCTGACCAAAGCACCTCACTCACTTGTAGGCAGTAGTAGTAGTAGGCTTGTGTGTTGCTTTTTTCCTTTTTAAAATTTTTTACTGGTTTACTTACAGTTTGTATACATTGTTTTTCACATTGGATCTTTCCCCTACATTGTTTTTCACATTGGATCTTTCCCCTTTCCTTTACCCACCCCTTCCTTCACCCATCAAATTGTGCGACTCTATGATTAAGCTTCGCTTTCCCCTCACCCTGCCCATCCTGGCCACATGCTCAAGGTATATGAGACACCTTCAAAATCCTAGCCTCCAAGAAGAAACTTGGTTTTACCCAGACAGACCTATTTGTTTTGTTGGTGGTCCATAGTATGTTCAAGACTCTTCTCCAGCACCACAACTCGAAGGCATTTATTCTTCTTCTGTCATCCTTAGTCATTGTCTAGCTCTCTGATGCATAGCAAGTAATTGCAAAGACCATGGTCTGGATTAGGCGCACCTTAGTCTCTGTCGCAACTGACATTGTTGCTTTTCAGTACTCTTGACAGTACTGAATTTCCCTGACAGGAAATTTTCCCAATGCAATTCTTATGAATACACATTTAAAATATGTATGAACATATACTTATGTAGCAGAAATACAGTTTTAGAAAGCAAAATTTACCTTTATAGTTCAAATCTTAATTCTTTCTCTTGCTTTTAAAATTCTAGTTACAACCCACTAACTTGAATTTGTTAATGGGTTATGACACACAGTTTGTCATGCTGGTGAGGTTGTGGAGAAACTGGAACCCTTATTCACTGTTGGTGGGAGTGTAAAATGGTGCAGCCACTATGGAAGGCAGTATGGTGCTTTCTCAAAAAGTTGCAAAGAGAGATACCATCTGACTCAGCAATTCCACTACTGGGAATATACCCTAAAGATACCATAACTGCCACCCAAGCAGATTTATGCACACCCACGTTTATTGAGGCCTTGTTCACAATAGCAAAGAGCTGGAAACAACCTAAGTGCCCATCAACAAACGAATAGTTAGAGAAGCTGTGGTATATTCACACAATGGAAAACTATGCTGCATTGAAAAACAAGGAACTCATGAAATATTATACAAAATGGGTGACCCTGGAGGACATTATTCTGAGTGACATATCTCAGTCACAAAAGGACAAATACTGCATAGTGCCATTGTTGTAAAACAGGACTGACATAGAGGTTTTTTGGGGGGGGACTAAGAAAGATGGGATAAGTTATGTATACTGTATTGAAACAGATGAGAGAGAGAACTGTTTAAAAGGTATATATTATTAGGTATTTATTGTCATGATGGGTCCAGAACGAAGGCTGCATAGTGGAGTGGACTTGGGGGGAGGGATTGTATAACAATGAAAGAATTTTTCTTTTACTCTTCAAAGAGAAGAACAAAGTGGAGGGTACTGGTGGACAGGGAGAAATTGCTGATGTCAGATGAATCTTAATTGAAAGCACAGAATACCAGAAAAATGTGTATTGTGTCTTATTGGCTATGCAGAGGCATTTGCCTGTGTGGCTCATAACAAATTTTGAAGAACCCTGCAAAGATTGGGAATTCCAGAACACTTAATTGTGCTCTTAGAAACCAGTACATAGTCCAAGAAGCAATTGTCTGAAGAGGACAAAAAAAACATGGCTTAAAAGGAGGAAGGGTGTGCAACAGGGTTGTCTCCTTAGTTATAGTTATTCAGTCTGTATGCCAAGCAAATCATCCAAGAAGGTGAATGTTTTGGAGAAGAATGTGGCATCAAGATTTGTGCAAGACAACACCCCCATGATACATCTTGAAGGATATGTACATGTACAGCCAAGCACAATCAATAAGAGTGCATCTGAATTCCAAAATCAATCTCCATAATAGTCTATGTGTTTCCTACTGCCAAAGGGGCCCTTTAGAGTAGTGAGAGAAGATCTTCACCCTGAAACCCACAGCGTCCCTTTTCAGCAGGAAGTAGCTAAGAGAATACGCCGTCCCCTTTTCCTTATGACTCAGGGTGAAGTCTCTCTCAGGGAGGAGTGATAGGGAATGGCAAAGGATACACTGACAAAGAAGATTAATCAGAACTGGCTTTGACAAGCACTGTGGCATTTGGACAAGAACAAACTGGGAGGAGGGTAGAGAGAATAGTGCAACAATGAATGAGTGGAAGCCCAAAATCTCTGTAAATGTTTATGAAAATTAATAAAATATAATTATAGAAAAAAAAAGATTTGTGCAAGACTCGTCAATAACCTATTTTATGCAAATGATACAACCTTGCTTGTAGAAAGTAAAGAAAACTTGAAGCACTTGTTGCAGAATATCAAAGACTATAGCCTTCAATATGAATTATAACTCAACATCAAGAAAACAAAAATCTTCACCACTGGACCAGTAGGCAACATTATGATAGATGGAAAAAAGATTGAAGTTGTCAGTGATTTTATTTTACTTGTATCCACAATCAATACCTATGACAGCAGCAGTCAGGATATCAGAAGATGTGTTGCATTGAGAAAATCTGCTGTCAAGGACTTCTCCAACCTGCTAAAAGAGCAGGATGCTCATTTAAAGACCAAGGTGCATGCAATCCAAGCCATGGTCTTTTCATTTGCTTCCTATGCATCTGAAAGTTGGAGAGTGAATCAGGATAATAGAGAGGAACTGATGCTTTTGAATTGTGGCATTGAAGAAAAGTACTGAATATCGCATGAACTACCAAAAGACAAAGCAAATCTGTCTTGAAGCAAGTGCAACCAGGGTGCTGTTTATAGACAAGGATGATAAAACTGTGTCACATACTTTGGGCATGTTGTCAGAATGAGTCTTGGACATGGACATTACGCGGGGAAAAGTGGAGGGTCAGAGAAAGAGAAGACGACCCTCAACAAAATACATTGATACAGTGACTACAGTAATAGCCTTGAGCTTGTCAGAGATCCTAAGGATGGTGCAGCATAGGGCGAGGTTCAGATCTGTTCATAGGTTTGTTGTGAGTTGTCGACTCAAGGTATCTATCAACATGGCAACAACAACACTATTGAACTTTCATTTCAATAGCTATATGTAGCTTAATTGCCTTATTGTTATAGATGTTCAAATTATGAAAGTAAAATGTGTAATGTATGCAAAAATAATCAAAGTAGATGTCTGTTTTCTTGGGAATCTTTTTTTAAAATTTGGAAAAATCATGTATGTACTTAGTTTCATTGAAATGGTTCAAAACGGATTACAATGAAAAATAAATCTTCCTTTAACCACAGCTTTCAGTTCCTTCCCAAAGATAACCACTGTTTTCTACTTTCTTTGAGAAATAGTCTGTGAATATACAAATATAAACATCCTTTTTCACACAATAGCAATAGGCATCTGGTTTTGTACAACAAACCACACTCTATTCAAAACAAAAGAGTTTTTCCAAACCTCATTCCTTTGGGATTGCAATGCTGCTTCTTACCACTAGACTTACCCATGCTGACTGCAAAAATATTAGATTCACATGATTTCACTTCTATTCCTTTGTGGAGTGAGTTGGTATATATAAATATGTATTTCTGTTTTCTAGTGTGGGGAGGTCTGGTTGCCCAGTGGGTAAGGAGTTGTTCTGCAAACCCAAAGATAGATGGTTCAAATTTACCACCTGTTCCACAAGAGAAACTTAGGGAGTCTCCTTTGTGAATTACAGTCTCTATAAACCCACTGGTGGGCCAGCTGTGAGTCAGTTCAACTTGATTCTGACTTGATGGCAATGAATTGTGTTTGAATTGAATTTGGATATTCATAGTGTAAGATACTTGAAATATATATCTATTTCTCAGATTTAAACTTCTCTTTACTACTATTTTATCTTTGTAATATTTTTAGTTGCCTGCAATTTATGTGTCTCTATTCCAAATAATCATTTTTTTAATTCAGTATTGACATGATATAGAATTATGTTTACTCTAGATGATAGGCCAATTTATTTTTTAACTAAATTATCTACTCTTATTAATATAGTAGATAATTAGCTATTATATAAGAATGTTACATAAAATTTTCTGAAGATTTATTTTAGTGTATGCTAGGTTGACACACTTCCATAATATGATTCTCATAAATAAAAATTGCTTTCTTTCCACTACAGAAAACTTGAGAATATTGTCATTAGGAAGAAACAACATAAAGAACTTAAATGGACTGGTAGGTTATTCTTTATTGCTTAAAAACCTGTACAGATACTCTTTTCTAAGTATAAAAATAATACTAATAATACTTGTCTGATGCAGAAACTTTTAAGGAATAGAACTGTAAAAAATAACCTACTTTTAATTTTTATTGACATCCTTTTATAGACAGTAAAAATCATACTTTATATATTATTTTGTACCTCTGTTTTTACTTAAGGTATAATAATTATTTCTCAGTGTCATTCATTCAGCAAACTTACTCAATGTATTTCCTGAATGCCTACCTTAAGCCAAGCATTGGCTAGGCACTGGAATAGGAAGCAAAGTTCTTGCTTTCCTAAGCTTTCATTATAACTGTGGAAGACAGACAAAAATAATCATATATCAGGTGGAGATGAATGTAATGGAAAAAAAATGTTTGGTAAGAGAACACATAGACTGATTAAGTTGTCTCTAGGGAAACTCAGGGCATATAGAGTAAAGCCTAAGTATTCCACACTGAGGAGACTGCCAATGCAAAGGTCCTAAAACAAAACCATTTGGCATGCTTGTGCAAGAGCAGGTATAATTGAATGAGGGAGGAAGAATGGTTTTCAATGAGTTGGAAACAGATCCAGGAACCAGGCTAATAAGGCCTTATAGACCATAATAAGGATCTTAGATTTATATATATTCTCCTTGCTCCAAGTGGGTTGCAAACACATTGAAGGTTTTGGGTCATAGAGTCTGACTTAAAAGAATTTGATAAGAATTTCAACCATGCCCTTTTAAAATGACAGCATAATATTCTGTTTTATCAATATTCTGTAATTTATTTAAACCAGTTACTGTCTGTTCAATATTTAATTGTTTCCAGTTTAGAGTTATTATAATCAATGCTGTTACGAATCTCCTTTTAGCTATATTATTTCACACATCCATGAATAATTCCTTGGATAAATTCCTAGAATGGAATTGCTGGGTCAAAAGGTATGAATTTCTTTTAAGGCTTTTGTGACATTATCAAGTTGCTCTCAGAAAGACTGTAACATACTATACTACCACCAGTAATGTCTGAGGCTCCTTATTTCCCCTTACAAACTGGGTATTTGAACAATTGTTATTAATTTTTGACAATATGGGTTTGGTGGGGTTTTTTTACAGTGTATTTTATTTGTGCATTTATTGACCATTTGTATTTCCTTCCAACAAAGATGAAATAAAAAAATCTAGGCATGATTTTTTTTACATTTTTAAAAAATTTATTATCAATTTCAATGAAAATTTACAGAGACTTTGGATTTCCATTCATTCATTGTTGCACATTTTTCTCCCTGGCCCTTTGCTCCAGTTCACTTTTCTCTTTAGAAAAAAGAATCCTTTCATTGTTAAACAGTCTCATTCTTCCCCACCCCTCCCACCTCCAGAGTCCATTTTAGTATGCCACTCTTATTCTGGACTCTTGTCATGACAATAATACATAATCATATATTCCTTTTATACAGTTCTCGTCCTTCTCTGTTACAATGCCGTGTCCATTATTTATCTCCTCTTTTCTTACTTTCCCCCCATATCAGTCCTGTTTCATAACAGTGGCATTATGCAGTACTTGTCCTTTTGTGACTGAGATATTTCACTCAGCATAATGTCCTCCATGATCACCCATTTTGTATAATATTTCCTGAGTTCCTTGTTTTTCAGTGCTGCCTAATATTCCATTGTGTGGATATATCACAGCTTCTCTATCCATTCATTTATTGATGAACACTTGGGTTGTTTCCAACTCCTTTCTATTGTGAACAAAGCAGAAATAAACAAAGGTGTGCATATATCTGCTTGAATGGCATTTCTGGTTACTTTAGGATTTATTCCCAGTAGTGGAATTGCTGGGTCAAATAGTATTTCTATTTCCAACTTTTTGAGAAAGCACCATACTGCCTTCCATAGTGGTTGCACCAAAAAGACCATACATTTTCTAAAGAAAGTTCACATTATGTGTGTCAGAGATGGTGAGGATAGCACAGAATAGGAAAAAGTTCAGATTTCTTGTTCATAGGGTCACTGTGTGTCCTGCTCTACTTGATGGCACCTAACAACAAACTGTCTTTTACTCCTTCCAGTCAGTGAGCTAAGCTTGTGTTTTATTAAGAGCCAGTGGGGTTGAAACTGCAGTAAGTCTTAATAATAACCTGCTAAGACTAGAATTGTTGTTGTTTGAACTAACATAGTTAACTTTGAGTAAGAACCACCTCATAGTTAACCTTCTAGCTGGTTTTCAGAGTCAGTAAATCCCACAGGAAGAGATTGTCCATCCTGATTCCACTGAGCATCTGTCTGCTAGAAATTGAGCCCCATGTGCCTTGAGGATTTCAGCACAGCTTCTTACCACTAGGCCACCAGAGCTCACTAAGGAGGACTTGAAACCTTTGCTGAAGAAGGTCAAGGACTACAGTCTTCAATATGGATTGCATCTCAACCTCAAGAAAACAAAGGTTTTCACCACTCAGCCTATTGGCAGCATCATGATAGATGAAGAAGAGATTGAGGTTGCCAACAGTTTAATCTTACTTGGATCCATAAGCAACGCTCTTGGCATCAGCAGTCAGGAAATCACAAGATGGGTTGCTTTAGGAAAGTCTCCTGTCAAGGACCTCTCAAAAGTGCTAAAGAACAACGATGTCATTCCAGAGACTAAGGTACCTCTGATCCAGGCCATGATCTTCTCAGTTGCTTGCTATGTATCTGAGATTTGGATGACTAAGGATGGCAGGAGAAGAATCGATGCCTTTGAGTTGTGGTACGGGAAAAAAGTATTGAACATACTGTGGACTGCCAAGAGAACAAACAAGTCTGTCGTGGAGAGAGTGAAGCCGACTTGCCCTTTGGAGGCAAGGATTTTGAAATGCTATCTCATATATTTTGGGCATCTTCCCACAAGGGACCAGTCCTTAAAGAAGGACATCATGCTTGGAGGTTTAGAGGGCCAGCGCAGGAGAGGAAGACCCTTGGTCAGATGGATTGATATAGTGACAGTGGCAAAGGGGGCAGGTATATCAGAGACAGACTGGCTCAAAGTAGGACAGGGTTCAGAACTACTGTTCATAGGGTCTCTATGAGTCATAGTTTACATGACGGTACATAACAATGCCTTTGAGTTGTGGTGTTGGAGAAGAGTACTGAATATGCTTTGGACTACCAAAGAAAACAAACAGGTCTGTCTTGCATACTTGGATAAATTGCAACCAGGAGCTCCTTAGATGCAAGGATGGTGAGACTTCATCTTACATACTTTGTACATGCTGTTAAGAGAGGCAAGTGCTTGGGAAAGGATATCATGCTGGGAAAGGTGGAGTGTCAGGGAAAGAGAGGAAGACTCTCAACAAGATGGATTGACACAGTAACTGTAGCAATGGGCTCGTGTATTCACAGATGATGAGGATGGCACAGAGTACGGCAAGGTTCAAATTTATTGTTCATTGGGTCAGTTTAACTCTATGGAACCTAACAACAACTAAAAACTTGTCTTTTCATGTTAGTACATACTATTTAATGTATTTTTCATATAAATGCATATGTAACAAAACATTTAAACATTTTGGCATGTATAATTTAGTGACATTAATTATGTTCATCATGTAGGTCAACTATCATGTATCTTATTTCAAATTTTTCCATCACCCTTAACAGAAGCTCAGTATTTCTGAGAAATGAGGCTTCCTTTTCCCCTCCATTTCACCTAACCCTGTTGTTTGTTTTTTGAGTTTGCGTCTTTGGTGGCTTAGTGATAAGAAGTTGAGCTGTCAACCCTAAGACACTTGGTTTGAATCTACCTGTTCCTCTGTGAGAGAAGGATGGCAGTTTCCTCCGAGACAATTTAAAGCCTTGAAATACCCATTGTATATTTCACTCAGCATAATGTCCTGCAAGGTCACCCGTAGTGTGTAATGTATTATGAGTTCCTTGTTTTTCAGTGCTGTGTAGTATTCCATTGTATGAATATACCATAATTTTTTCTATCCATTCATTTGATGATGGAGACTTGGGTTGCTTCCATCCCTTTGCTATTGTAAATAATGCTGCAATAAACATTGGTGTGCATATATCTTTTTGAATGGCAGTTATAGTTTCTTTGGGGTATTTCTCAGTAGTAGCATTGCTGGGTCAAACAGCAATTTCTAATTTTTTGAGAAAGCACGAAACCACCCTGTTTGCACCATCTTACACTCCCACTAGCAATGAATAAGGGTTCCAAACTCCACAATCTCACCAGCATTTATTATTTGCTGCTCTGTTAAACTTTGTTAATATCTCAGTCACAAAAGGACAAATACTGCATAGCACCACTATTATAAAGCAGGTCTGACATAAAAGTTTGGGAGGAGAATATGATAAGAGTGGAAAGAAAATGAACATTGCATTGGAACAGATGAAGGAAATAACTGTTTATAAGAAATATATGATTAGTTATTATATGTATAATAATAGCCCAGAATAAGATGTATATTGCAAAAAGGTCTGGAGTTGGGGGAGGGAGATAATTGTGTAACAGTGAATGAATATTTAAAAAACCAAAATTTTAAAAAGCAAAAAAAAAGTCGGCTGGGGGAAGAGGAAGGAATGGAGAGGAGGTAAAAATGTGCAACAATGAATGAATGAAAATTTAACTTTTCTGTAAATTTTAATTAAAATTATAATGAAAATAAATATTTTATATAAAAAAATAAAAGCATAAGTTTAACAGAAAAAAAACCACCAACCCAGTTTTATTGCGGCACTATTTACAATAATAAAGAAGTGGAAACAAACAAAAAACCCAATAGCCCACTGGAGGGTCAGCTATGCACTGGTTCTGACTCGATGCTATACAATAACAGCTACCTCTTTATTTCCGTTCTGATTCATACATTGGGTATTTTTAGGTCTTTTTTTTTTCTTGGTTCTTTCAACTTATTTATTATGTTCTTTATTTTATTATAGTCTTTCAGTCTGTTTATTATTTAAGTTTTCATGAGTATGATTTCCCTCCCTCCACCT